ATGAATAATTCCTCGAAGTCTTAATGCCCATATATTATTTTGTTGAAACTTTAATAATTTATTTAAATCAGCTAATGAGTTCTCGTATCTTTTCATCATATAAAGAGTTTCACTACGTTTCCTTAATTCACAAACATTAGTTGGTTCTTTGTTTAAAGATGTAACTGAATCTTCACGTAATTTAATATAATATATCGATGCCTCACAGGCTTTTAATGTAGGAAATTGTTCATTTGGCTTCATTTTAAACATTCTATATAAATCTGCACATGATTTATCATACGTTCTTAATGCAAATGCATTATTTGGTTCAATTACTAGTAGATTACTCAAATTTGCAAGTGATTTAAATGATTTACAATATTCTTTCGTGTGATAATAAGCCAATACACATTGACTTATTGCATGTACATTCTTTTGATTAATTTTTAGTAATTTGTTGAAATCATTAAGCGAATCCTCATATTTTTCCATCATGAAGTAGCATTCTCCACGATTAAGTATGGCTGTTGCATTATTTGGATCAATTTCCAGCAATTTGTTGAAATCACCAAGAGACTCGTCATATCTTTCCATCATGAAGTAGCATTCTCCGCGTTTATGTATTGCTATTGTATCTTTTGATTCAAGTTCTAGAGATTTATTTAAATCTGCAAGTGATTTGTTATATTTTTTCATGTTATAATAAATAATTCCTCTAAGACTTAATGACCATATATTATTTGGTTGAATTTCTAATGATCTATTTAAGTCAGCTAATGAATTCTCATACTCTTTCATCATATAAAAAATTTCACCGCGTTGCCTTATTGCGCAAACATTATTTGGATCAATTTTTAAAAATGTATTTAAATCTTCAAGTGATTTCATATAATTTTCCATATTAAAATAAGTTGCTCCACGTTGTATTATAGCCCACATATTATTCGGATTAGTTTTTAATAAACTATCAAAAAATGCTACTAATTCATTATATTTATCTGACCAAATGTCCGGTGTTAAAACGTTATCAGGTAGTTCTTTTAATATATTAATTTTAAGAGAGGGAAAACTTTCTACTAATTTCTCTTTCTTATCTTTTGAAAGATTCGGCCAACTTCGTTGATATAAAACAAAATTGTTAAATTGATAATTTTTATAAAAAATTTGTTCAAACACTTGTTTTAATTGATTAACCTCAGGTCGAAAATTACTATATCCATCAAAATATAATTGGATTATAGAATTTTTAAGGTTATTAAATGGCATATTGATAAAAAGAAAAAGTGCACAATATGGATGAATTTCATAGCCTATATGTATTTCGAGTTTTTTTAACTGATTTTTAGTTTGAAGGATTAAAGCAAGTTGTTCCAATGTATAAAGTGGAGTTTGTAAACATTTTAGATTAACTGTACACTCAGCAATATTTTTGATAAGTTGGGTACACTCAAGTGGATTATTAAAATGCCGGTGCCAACTAAAGGTAACATTTTCAATAGTTTTACCATTCATCCTGATGAGACTAGATAATATTTCAATAGGTGGCGCACTATCGTAAATGGAGTAACTTCCATAAGTGTACTCTAAAGACGTCAAATTTCGGAATGTTGGATAAATGGGAAAGTATATAATTCCTTCACAATGATTAAACTTTAGTTCAGTAATGTTTGTACACTGACTAAGTGAAGAAATAGCTTTATCATTTAATTGTAGTGTAGTGGATTTAAATTTTGCATTAACACCTTTTGTGCAGTTTACTGTTACGATGCATGTTTTTGAATGTTACGCTTTTAAGCGACCGTGTTTGACTTTGAAGAAATTGAACAGAAGATGATGCAAAGTTATTACTATTTACTAGAGAGAATTTTTTTAAGCATCTTTGATAGCTTATAAGATTTGCAAGTGCAATTCCTTCTTCTTTACACCATACGGTAGCCTTAAGATTTCTAATATTGTGACAACTTTTTGCCAATGCATTAAA